TTTCCAGCAGCTTGTTTCTTCTAAACTCAGCAGCTGAGGATTTATTTATTTATTTATTTATTTATTTATTTATTTATTTATTTATTTGTTTGTTTATTGATTTAAAACACGCTCAGTTTACTGATTTGTCAGGTTTTCCCCTGATGGATGCAGATCTTTATCCTGACAGGTTTCCTGTCAGCAGGACCACACCTGATCCACACAGGTACCGGGCCCTGGGGGAGACTGGGGCCGACCTGGGGCACCTGCAGCTCGGACTCAGGTCTCTGGACTCCCGCAGAGTCAGGCAGCAGAACCAGGGTCAGATCATTTCACACAGACCTGCAGTCAGCTTGTTGATAGGACCAGAATGGATGAGTGATTGACAGGTGATTGACAGGTGATTGACAGGTGATTGACAGGTGATTGACAGGTAACTGACAGGTGATTGACAGGTGATTGACAGGTGATTCCCGTGCTTTTCACGGGTCAACAGGTCCAGTTGGGTGGAGTTCTGAGAGTAGGAGGGACTGTGCAGGGTGGGTGTGTGTGTGCGCGTCACCGTGTCCCTCCTCCTCTGTCAGCGGCTCCTCACATCAGTGTGACGGGCACGCGCCGCGGTTCGTTAACAAAGTGAAGAGAACTTAGTCTGGAGGACAGTTCTGGAGTTCGGGTTCGGGAGGACGGGTTCGGGTGAAAGAACAGTCTGGGACTCACTGTGTGCTGTGTTCCGGCAGTGGGATGAGTCCATGAGGACCAGAGACCCGGATCAGTGAGACCAGAGACCCGGAGATCATGGCGGAGGGTCCCCGCTTCAAGAGGCGCAAACAGGCCAACCCCCGCAGGAAGATCCACGGTAACACCGCACAGCACCGGGACCGGAGGGAGGTCTGAGCTGGACCCGGGGTCCGGGACCCGTCAGGGTTCCAGCTCATAAACAAACAAACAAACAAACAAACAAACAAACAAAGTGACTTTATTTAATTTGAACATTTCTGATTTTCTTCTTCTTGTTTTGATCATCCTAACACAATGTTTGTTTGTTTGTTTGTTTGTTTGTTTGTTTGTTTGTTTGTTTGTTTGTTTGTTTGTTTGTTTGTTTGTTTGTTTGTTTGTTTGGAGCAGTTCTGGTTTTGTTGACTGAAACCAGATATTTGTGTGTTTGACAGCAGGAAGTGGTGATGTTATTGATACTGATAATATGGTTAATTAATAATATTATTTTCTTATTTAATACTTTTATATCTGTTCCTTTGTTGTTGTTGTTTCTCCTCGCGGAGAACTGGTGTCTCCTGCAGTCCCTGTGAGACAGGCAGGGACACCTGGACATGTCTCAGTCCATCACAGAGACACCTGGACATGTCTCAGTCCATCAGAGGGACACCTGGACATGTCTCAGTCCATCACAGAGACACATGGACAGGGACACCTGGACATGTCTCAGTCCATCACAG